GGAATTCAACCCAGAAAAGTGTGAAGTGATTCATTTTGGAAGGTCGAATTTGAATGCAGAATACAGGGTTAATGGCAGGATTCTCAGCAGTGTGGAAGAACAGAGGGATCTTGGGGTCCACGTCCATTGATCCCTCAAAGTTGCTACCCAAGTTGATAGGGTTGTTAAGAAGTCATATGGTATGTTGGCTTTCATTGGCAGGGGAATTGAGTTTAAGAGCCGTGAGGTTATGCTGCAGCTCAATAAAAGTCTGGTTAGACCACACTTGGAATATTGTGTTCAGTTCTGGTCCCCTCATTATAGGAAAGATGTGGAAGCTTTAGAGAGGGTGCAGAGGAGATTTACCAGGATGCTGCCTGGACTGGAGGGCAGGTCTTATGAGGAAAGTTTGAGGGGGCTAGGGCTTTTTCATTGGAGTGAAGAAGGATGAGAGGTGACTTGATAGAGGTGTACAAGATGATAGGAGATATAGATAGAGTGGATGGCTAGAGACTTTTTCTCAGGGCGGAAATGATGATTATGAGGGGGCATGATTTTAAGGTGATTGGAGGAAGGTGTAGGGGAGATGTCAGAGGTAGGTTCTTCACACAAAGAGTGGTGGATGTGTGAAATGCGCTGCCGGCAGTGGTCATGGAGTCAGATACTTTCGAGACTTTTAAGCGACTCTTTGGATAGGCACATGGAGGACAGTAAAATGTAGGGTATGCAGGGTAGATTGATTTTAGTAGGATAATAGGTCGGCACAACATCGTGGGCCGAATGGCCTGTACTGTGCTGTACTGTTCTATGTTCTATGTTTGTGTACGTGTGTGTGCACATTTTTGTGGGTGGGTGTGTATGTATGTGTGTATATTTGTATTTGTGTCTGTGCGTACGTTTGTGTACATGTGTGTGTACATTTGTGTGTGTGTGTACGTGTACGTCTATGTGTACATTTGTGTGTACATGTGTGTGTCTCTCTGCATGCGTGTATATGTTTGTGCTTGTGTGCACGTTTGCGTATATGTGTACGTGTGTGTGCACTTTTGTGGATTTGTGTGTGTGCATATTTGTTATGTGTGTTTGTACACATTTGTGTGTGGGTACGTGTGCACTTTTGTGTGTGTGTGTGATGGGTTTCTCCAGCAGTTCCTGTTTTTCATTTGGATCTCCTCCATCTGCAGTATTGTGTATTTGTTGTAACAGTATGTGGTCTCCTTATCCCTCCTGCAGCCCCTCGCACGGATCCACATTGAAATTGGTTTGTTATTTACACACCCAGTATTATTATTATTGACCTCCTGTTAATCCAAGGACATTGCTGCAAGTGCTGGCTCTGACACAGCAATAAGTGCTTGGAGCCAACTCAATTCTCAGTGTCTGCAGCGTTTCCTTACGGAAGGAGGCCATTCAGCCCTCTGCTACTCCATGGCAATCTCTAGCCCACACACATCGAAACCACAGTGACGACAATGGGGAGACAGTTCAACCTGGGGTTCACTCACTACTGACTGCTGTTAAATGGATTCCAAGTCAAACAGCAATATGTGAATCCAGACACAACTCCGTTTCTCAGTTGTAGCTTTCTCCACAGAGTGTAGCGTTACAGATAACAACCTCCAATCTGTGAAACCCCAGTGTGACAGCATCTCTCTTTACACACGTTCAAGTAAATCAAATAAAATAATCAACTGGGATGTACTGCTGAGGCCGTATAAGACTCTGGTCAGACTGCGTTTGGAATATTGTGAGCAGTCTTGGGGCCCCGTATCTAAGGAAGGATGTGCTGGTGTTGGAGTGGCGTCCAGAGGAGGCTTACAAGAATGATCCCAGGGACGAAGGGTTTGTCATGTGAGGAGCAGGTGAGGACTCTGGGTCAGTACTCGATGGAGTTTAGAAGGATGAGCGGGGGGAGGGATCTGATTGAAACTTACAGAGGCCTGGATAGAGCGGTTGTGGAGAAGATGTTTCCATGAGTAGGAGAGACTAGGACCTGAGGGCACAGCCTCAGAGTGAAGGGACGACCCTTTCAATCTGAGGTGAGGAGGAATTTCTTCAGCCAGAGGGTGGTGAATCTGTGGAACAGAAGGCTGCAGAGGCCAAGTCATTGAGTGTATTTAAGACAGAGATAGATAGGTTCTTGATTGGGAAGGGGATCAAGGATGATGGAGGGAAGTCTGGAGAATGGGGTTGAGAAACATACCAGCCATAATCAAATGGTACAGCCAACTCGATGGGCTGAATGGCCTAATTCTGCTCCTAAATCTAATGGTCTTATGGACCATCTAGTAAATTCAAAAGAAAACACCCTTTAACTGGGCATTGTAATGAAAGCCTTAAAAGAAATTTATGAAGCTGGAATTGAACTAATGTTTTTGGGAGGGATGATGTACTCTTATACCACACAATAGCGGAATTATTAGGGCATAGAAAGAGGCCATTTTGCCCATTGTACCTGGCCTTATTCCCTGGTGCCAATCTGCTGCCTTTACCCCTGTCCCTCCCCTCCCAATTTCTATCCCAATACCCATCCAGTACCCATCTGGAATGCCTCAATGGAAGCTTGTCTCCATCACATTTCCAGGCAGTATCATCCCACACGTGCGTCAAGGGGTAACATCTCTGCCAGCTCTGACACTTCCAGGCAGGCCCTTCTGGCTCAGGGCTAAGGACACTACCCACTGTGTCACAGGAGCTCGCAGTCCCCCTGTTATAACAGAACGCCCATGTCTCCTCACCTCACCTCACCTCAGTCAGAGCTGTTCTGATGGTCCAAGTGAAGGCTTGAGGTTAAAGTATCCCCTGATATTAACTGGTTGAAAGGGCAGACAGTTCTGATGCTGGGGGTCCCTGTGATGCGCTGTGCTCGGTCAGGACACTGTGCGTTAGTGACGGTATGTGTTGTCGACCACTGCTAACCCCGGTCTCACCGTCTCTATCCAATCCAGACAGGTGAGATGGAAATCTACAACCCGTTGTTCAACACCTCTGTCCTCCGAGCTGGACCATCCGACCAGGAGCACTAGGACCTCATCCCCTGCCAAACCCACCCTGAGCTTAAAGAGACCGAGCACCTTCTCTGCTTCCACCTTTGATGGGTGGCCCAGCGTTGTTCCCTGATGGTGAATTCACTTCAGTATCTCCCCCCCAACCCTCCACCTCCCCCCTGCACCTCGATGGGGGAAACCCCCTTCCCCTCACCTGTGCAGAGGAGGGGATGAGGGGGTCGATTTCCTTCGGACTTCTCCCAGAGTAACACAGGGACCCTCACCGCTCTGGACGTCGGGTGGCCGAGTGCGCACTGCTCAGGTGGGAAAAGCGCCAGGCAAGGGGCCGAGACCACAGACCACCCACTAGCCGAGGTGAGGAACCTTCGCCCGACTCATGTACAGCCCCCAATAAACGCTGACGCCAGGCCCCCCGAGACGTCCCCTCGTGTCGATATGCCTGCTTTGCTTTGGGGAGAGAGATGCAGGAAGAAAGTTCAAATCAACCACCTCCTAATATGGCCACCCACCAGCCTGACTGTCACTCCTGGTTCACTCCAGTTGTCGCTTCACCCTCCCCTGGAGCTTCAGCAGATCCTCCAAGTGCTCCTGGTCAGAACGTCAACTCAAATCGCCCACAAACAAAGAAAATCTTGACCTCATGATGCTTCCCGTCAGTTCCACGATTTCCAATTCTCTCGTCCCAGCCCCTTCACCCTGGACGTGCAATCCGTCTACGTGTTCATCCCTCATCAGGAAGGGCCTGAAGGCTTTCGGATCCTTCCTTGGAAAGAGGCCTATACCGTCCCTCTGTTGCCTGGCTGAGGTAGTTCTTACTCTGAACAGCTCCTCCTCTCACTGTCTCCAGGACAGAGGGATGGCCATGGGTACCCGCACAGTCTCCAGTTATGTCTGACACTTTGTGGGGTACACGGGACATTCCTTGTTCCAGTCCTACTCTGGTCCCCACCTCCACCTTTTCCTCTGATACCAAGTCAGTACTGCTTCCAATTTCCATCCTCCTCTCACCTTCGCCTGGAATGTCTCTGACTCTTCACAGAACCCCTACAATGCGGTAATAGGCCATTCGGCCCATTGAGTCTGCATTGACGCTCCAAAGACCATCCCACACCACCTACTATATCCCAGCATTTCCCATGGTTAATCCACCTAGCCTTCACATCATTGGACACTATGCGTAATTTCTCACGGCCAATCCACCCCAACCTGCACATCTTTGGACTGTGGGAGCACCTGGCGGAAACCCACGCAGACACAGGGAGAACGTGCAAACTCCGTACATCACCCGAGGCTGGAATTGAACCGGGTTCCTGGTGCTGTGAGGTAGTGGTTCTCACCACTGTGTCATCGTAGAACATAGTACTGTTGGGCACAGGAAAGGGCCTTTCAGCCCATAATGTTGTGTCAAACATGACTTCAAATTGACATCTCCATGCTGACCTTGACATCACTGTTTCTATTCTATTCATATACTAGCAATGGCCTAGTGGTATTATCACTGGACTGTTAATCCAGAGACCCATATATCGTTCTGGGGACCCAGGTTCGAATCCCGCCACGGCAGATGGTGGAATTTAAATTCAATAAAATATCCAGAATTAAGAAACTAATGATGACCGCGAATCCAACGTCAATTGCCAGGAAAAACCCATCTGGTTCACTAATGTCCTTTAGGGAAGGAAACTGCCATCCTTACCTGGTCTGGCCTCCATGTGATTCCAGACCCACAGCAATGTGGTTGACTCTCAACTGCCCTCTGGGCAATTAGGGATGGGCAATAAATGCTGCCCTGGCCAGTGACGCCCTCATCCCACGAATGAATAAATAAAAAAACTTTCTGATGAGAGGCTGTCTGCCAATATTCATTACAAGCCACCACATCCCACAGTTCCCAGGAATACACCTCCTCACACTGTGCTACCTGCAAGGATTCCATTCCATTCTCCCAGTTTCTCCATCTCTATCACATCTGTTCTAATGATGCGACGCTGAGCTACCTCCAACACAACTTCCTCTTTCCTCAACCGAGGAGTCCCCCCCAACCCCCACATGGTCAACAAGGTACTCAACCGTGTCTTACCCAACTCCCACACTCCTGCCCTCCTTCCCAGAACAACAATTGGGTTCCCCTCGTCCTCACGTTCCGCACCAACTCCAAGTCTCCACATTCAAAGGATCATCCTCTGCCATTTCCTCCCCCTCCAGCGGGGTGCCCCACCAAAAACGGCCTGCCCTCCCCTTCACTGTCAGCGTTCCACAGGGACCAGTCCCTCCAGGACTGCCTGGTCCACTCCTCTATCACTCCAAACGCTTCCTCACTCCCCCCTGCAAATAAAAAAGGTAGAAACCCTGCCCTTTCCCCTCCTCGCTCCTCACTCTCCAAGGCCCCAAACACACCCTCCAGGTGAAGCAGCGATTCACTTCTCTCTTTATTTCAGATAACAAGGTGTAGAGCTGGATGAACACAGCAGGACAAGCAGCATCGGAGGAGCAGGAAAGCT